GCATACTTTTACCTTATCCCAGAAATCAACCAAAGCTGTAAAGTCCCATTTCTTAGAATATGCCACATTGTATTTCAGTATAGCATCCTATGGAAAAAGCATAAATAAAATCTTATGATATAGCCAAGTGAAATCTAAGGAAGAGCCTGTCTTCTTTATGAACTACCTCCAGTGAATTTCTTAATGCTAGACAAGCTTCCTCCTACAATCAGCTACTCCATGTCAGTAGCCATGGACATGTAGGATGCACATTAATTTATTATTTGCTTAAGAAAAATGAGATCAGAAAGGTCAAGTAGTGGGGGAAAAACATCATAACTGCATTAAAGTATGCATTCTCAATGGGATGATATTACTCGAAGCAGGTAAAAATGGGATCTTGGGGGATTTAAAAACAAACCAATCAACCAACCAACCACAAAAAACTTAGTTCAATGTACTCCCAACGGTTACACTGTATATAGATATTCAGCATATCTGTAATATTAAAATTATGGCAGGGGGGTAATTAGAAAAAAAGTCTTAAAAGGCTCTTGTGGGGAGAGCGATAATGAAAAAAGGCATAAAATGGGTCTTTTCCGTTTATTAGCAGCTATTTTTATAAGCTACTTATAAACAGTCATCATCCGTCAGCAGTTCACATCCATTACTATTTATGTAGAAGGGAAAAGTCAAAATAGTACGCCATCTACCGGTGTAAATTATAACTGTCTGAACAGGCAGAGATGTTCCCCTGGCTTCCAGAGTGGGGTATGCATAAGACAAACCATTAAGTGTGCAGACAGAACTATTATTTATCATTACATTTGAACTCATCCTTTTTAATTTCTACCTTGATCATATTTTATAATGCATATATTATATAAATAATAAACATGAACAATTTATAAAACGATTTGTATTGGCAATATACACTCAAAAAATTTTTTACTGATGGAATACACAAGTCTGAAAATCACTGCATCGACTTATTACTGTGAACCTTCCAATCTTCCTCAATACTGATAAAGTTTTTAAAAATTAACACTCTGCCAAAGAGCTTCCTGAAAAATACGGCATGCCATAAAAATAAGCACCAAGCATCTAGTAAAAGAAAAAAAAAAATGTATATTAATTACTGGAAATTAGGGAATATTCAAATTCCTTCAGAAAGGAAAAGAAAAAGTATCAACCACAAAATAACACAGCAAAAGCTTTTATTTTTCCCTCACAAGCCATAAAACAGAAGTTTCTATAAGGAACTAAAAAATGTCAGCTAATTTTTCCTAATCTGATTTTAGAACCTCACATAAAATATTAAACATCAATGTCCATCAACAGGTGAATGGATAAACAGTGCATACACCTGAACACTTACTACTCAGCAATAAAAGGGAATGAACTACTGATACACTTAAAGTGGATGAATCTCAAAAATCTTCATTCTGAGTGAAAGAAGCCAAACACAATAGCATTCATACTATATTATTCTGTTTATGTAAAATATGAAACTAATCTATAGTGAAAAAAAGCAATCAGTAGTTGCCTGGGGCCAGTAGAGAAAAAAGGATGGACTGCAAAGGGGCAAAGGGAATCACAGGTTGGCTTCATGGGTGTGTGCAACTGTCAAAACTCATCAAATTATGCACTTAAAAAGATGTACTTCCTCCAAGTTGATAAGGAAAAACATTTTAAATAGCATTTGCACTCTAGTTTTTTAATGGGGTTTTATAACTACCATTAGCTTCTAACTAATATTTACTTTTACTTCAGTCTTCAAGTCTCAAAGTAGCCTATCATGAGGTCTCGTCATTAGAAACACCGGGTGCTATTCTGTATTCTTAGCTATCAATTATTGAGTGAGTCTTTTTTAGTTTATAACTCACAATAAGCACATTTAGTTAAAGCCAAAGACCTCCACTCTGTGTAAATTATCAGACATATCATTTACAGAAATATTTCTGTTTAAATTAACATTGAGGACACTCTTTTCCCTTCTTAAATTTTGAAAGGATTTAACTCCTCTTAATCTACCATCAAATGACATATGAACAGCACAAAGGCCATTCTAGTCAATAAGAGAGATTTAATGCTTCCTCTTCTTCTCAGCAAAGGAAACAATGACCATAAGAAGACAGAAGAAAATCTGGATGGATTACTCTGTTCTGTTGTATCCACCGTAAAATGAACAAGAAAGGGAAAATTCAGATTAAAGCAACTACACCTCCCTAAAGTAATCACGGGGCACCAAGGAAAGGCTAAAGAGGCAAGCTGACCATGGAATTTAGAACAATATGATTATTCCATTTATGCTTAAAGAAAAAAATACTGAAACGCTTTAAAATAAACCCTGTTTATAAGGCCATAAAGGACCTGAGACAGTGTTCCCAAAAGAAGTCTGGGCAGTATTTTCAGGTGGCCTGCTTTTGCATTTTGTGAATTTATAATTGGGGTTTCGGAAAACAAAGGCTAAATGACAACACACTTTCAGAATAAAGAACAGGTACTTCAAATAGGTAAAAATGGTGAAAACACTGAGCCATCATAATATACACTACAGCCCAGGGAACCCTGGCGGCACAATGGTTAAGTGCTCAGTTGCTAAACAAAAGGTCCGTGGTTTGAATCCACTAGCCACTCGGTGGGAGAAAAGACCTGCCAGTCTGCTCCCATAATGATGACAGCCTAGGAGACCGTATTGGGCAGTTCCACTCTGTCATATAGGGTCACTATGAGTTGGAATCAACTCAACAACACAAAACAATAACAACGCATACGTATGTCAAATTGTAAGAAGTCTGGATCAAAGTGGTCAGGACCATATTTATTTGCAAGCTGATGTACTGCACATAGATCACATCTCTGCATCCACCAACAGTTCATGATTAGTAACAAAAGTAGTAAAGTACAAAATAAATACATTTTTCTTTATATGGTATTTTTTAAAAATTTCTCAGCATACTATTTTGGAGTCTGGATCAATGGTTAAAAAGAAAGTCTGTTGCAAAAAAGGCACACTGAACCCAAACTGTGTTCACTGTGATAATGAACACCAATCGAATGATGGCTCATCATGCTTAAAAGTGGAAAAAATCAAAACGACACAGCTGTATAAGCACTATAAGCGTGAGGAGCTTATATTTTACATCTGTACATATGTAATTAACATTATACTAAAAATAAGTAAACCCTGACAGACCTTGAGTTTTTTTTTTTTTTTGGCATTTAAAAGTTTAGTTAAAAGAAGTACAATACAAGATTGAGAAACACTTTCCCTAAGGAATGAAACATTCAAAATACATTATGGTACAACATCAATGTTTTTCATGTTAAAAAAAAAAAAAGAAAACCCGAAGACACAGAAAGGTCTAAGTGTAGGTGGAAAATACTACAAAACCCAAGAAACTATACAGAGCAATCAAGACTCTCAAAGAAAATGTTCCCGTTTTTACTGAAGCAAAGAAAATTCTGCTACTGTTCATATTCATAAAAAGCTTGAAATTTTACATGATTATGGTACCATAATTATGCCTTTGAATTACGGGTGTTGACAAAGAATACTGAATATACCATGGACTGCCAGACAAATGAACAAATCTGTCTTGGAAGAAATACAGCCAGAGTGCTCCTTAGAAGCGAGGATGGTGAGACTTCGTCTCACATGCTTTGGACATGTTATCAGGAGGGACCAGTCCCTGGAGAAGGACATCATGCTTGGTAAAGTAGAGGGTCAGCGAAAAAGAGGAAGACCCTCAGCGAGCGAGAGAGATGGACACAGTGGCTGCAACAATGGGCTCACACACAGCAATGACTGTGAGGATGGCGCAGGACCGGGCAGTGTCTCATTCTGTTGTACACAGGGTCGCTATGAGTCGGAACTGACTTGAGGGCGCCTAACAACAACGACATAGTGCCACAAAGAAAAAGAATTCATATTTTAGATATTAGAAAAACAATCTAATGGTTGCCCTACAGTCTCAGATAAAATACTGTTTTAAAAAACCAAAAAACAGATTACTGCCAAAAGAAAAGATTAATAAATTATTAAACTGCTAGAAGCTAAATTAAGAGCAATAAAAAATAGAATGCTTAATGTATACTTTAATCATTATGAAAGTCAGCTTCCCTTTGGGCGAATATTGCTGAAGTCATAATTCTCTCCTGACTTACATTTAAAGGCATTTCAGCAACTTGATAATTTTAAAATAAAAATAAAAGAGAAACTTGGACTGAAGGAAATTGGATGGGGAATCAAGAAACTGAGGTGTTATTCCCGGTTGTCGGAATTATTTCGCGTGGCTCCAGGCAAGTCATTTACAACTCTCGGTTCTTCTACTCATTTCCCTGTGATGGAGTGGAAAGCAAGAATGTCTCTAAGGAGAGTTCCTCCAGGAAGCAAGTACCTTGAATATAAACAATGCTGTTACCTGAGTCTATTAAGAGCAAAAACGTCTTTGAGAGAGGAGACACAAGGCCCGTCTACAGGAACTATGTGTAAGAGACAAGCATGGCAAAGAGAACATACCCTCAGGTTTTGGGGCCGCGTGAATCTGTTGAGAAGTGAGGTCTGAATGAGCTCCCAGCGGCTCCCTGCAGTTCGCTCACCATTCTTTTAGGAAAAAGAAAAACATATGAGGAAACCATGCCCAAGTTCTTTTGCACCATAGAATCAGAAATCAAAAACCAAGTACAGGGATTGCAACTAGGGTCACACAACAACATGTGTATAAACTTCTGTATGAGAAGTTAACTTGAGCTGTAAACTTTCACCTAAAGCACAATTTTAACAAAAGGTAAGCACTAAGCCATCTTTCAGAGACTAACAGAGAATCAGTTTTGTTCTCACCTCATCCTCCACAGGGTACAAGTTCTGTTCTGAACAAGGCATTTTAACATGCTTGTTGTCCCACAAATCTTTATAATGTGTTGGAAAAGGTTTAGGAACTTCTCCTGCTCGCAAAAGATCCACCTGAAATAGAAGGTAAAAAAGAAAATTTTAAGTGCGTAAAATTTAGGAAGATCTTCTACAAAATGACCTGAAGAAAGTAGCCAATACAAATGCTATATCATAGTAGAGACCAGGCCCTGGGCACGAAATCTCAGAAATCCTCTACAGCTGTTCCCACCTCTTGCTTCATTTAATCAGTTCCTAAGTCCCCCATCCTGTGCTTTCTACCTCCATTCCATCTAGGCCCAAGGCCCTCATCAACCCTTGCCTGCATTATTGTCAATAACCTCGTATCCCTCCCCCTATCTCCAACTGCTCCCACATACATTCATCCTCTATAAGACCCATCTCCCTGCTTGGGAACAACATTAACTTTTTAAAGTACTCCCAGGTTTCCAACCCTTTAATGGCTACCCACTTACCCTCTGCCTCTATGTAAGATTCCATACTGATTCCAAATAATATTCCCAGTTTTTTAGCATATTCTTACCCAAACACTATTCATTCTAGACAAGCCAGCAGACTTATAATTTATTAAACATTGTAAATTCATTTTTGTACCTACATGCCTTTACACATATTATCATCTCTTCTCTTTTCAATACCAATTCTATTAATTGCCACCTTCCCATATCCCTTTATTTGGTTAAACACTTCTTTTGACCTTCATAGGTCAGCTCAATTTTAATTTCCTTTAAGACGTCTTTAGAAACTTTTTATAGGCAGTTAGTTTACTCTCGCCTATTTTACTGAATCATTAACATACTATTGCACGCTTGTTTTTCATTTCCCCACTAGCCTCTAAACTTCTTGAGAAAAATAACTGTTAACTTTGTATTCTAAATATTTAGGACAGAGCCCAGCATATGTATATTTATATGTATATGTGTGTACATATGCACATATAAATACACATGTGCTACTAATAATAAGTGTTAATGTTTGAGGAAGGAGATATTTTAAATCATAAAAGCTGTATGTTTTGTCTATTCTGGACATTTCATATAAATGGAATAGAATGCATGGCCCTTTGTGTCTGGCTTCCCTCACTTAGCACTGTTTTCAAGGTTCATTCGTATTGTAGCAAAGATCAGTACTGCACTGCATAGAATCAAATAACCACAAAAATGAATATAAAATTTCAACTGCAATATGCTATGAATGAGAGGTTCATGGTTTTATGAGGACCTGTGCTAGACAGATTTAACTTATTTGGTGACCTTAGGGAAGGCTTCCTTAAGGGAGTGGAATTCAGCTCATCTCCGAAAGAGAAAAGAAGTTAACTAGGAAAAGGAAGAAAGGAAGATTGGTCCTCAAAAAGGTAACACCTTATGGGAAGGAAAAGACTGTCAAACAGGCAGTTTCATAAAAAGGTCTGCAACTCAAGAGAAATAAATTTGTAAGCCATCTATATATAGGTGACCCTTGAAGCCGTAAGTGTGGGTGAGGCTACCTAGAGAGAGACAAAAGGGGACCTAGGAAGAAGCCTTGAGGAACTCGAACAACACTTAATGGCCACATATAGAAGAAGAGCCCAAAAGAAACATAAGAATTGGCTAAGAAGGTAGGAAGAAAACTAGGATTACTAGTATATGGTGTCATGGAAGCTAATGGATGAGAATATTCCAAGGAGAAAGAATGGTCAAGAGTCAAATGTGGCTGAGTCATGAAGTATTCTTACCTTCATAAGGAGGCCCCAAAGGTGAGTTTATAAAGATGTTTCATGTAATCTAAGGTACTGGTCAAGCTTTACATATAGGGGAACACATGTGTAAGAAAATGCTTTATATGAGTGTTTGTATTTACATACAACCAAGTACTAAATGTAATGGCCACAAAATTTCGTATTACCTTATATTAAGCCAAATAATAGCTTCAGTAGTAATACTTCAACTTCTGTAACTAAGTATCTGTACTTACTCATCTGGCATCTTAGAAGTATGAGTAACTAAAGACTGTTTATTAAATAACTGCTATTATATTACCATATTCAGCAAAAAAAAAAAAAAAATCTAGAAGAATATACAGTACAACAAATTGTTAAACCTGGGAATGGGACTAAGAGGGACTTGGGTTTTCTGAGCATACACTTTTACATAATAGTTACATTTTTTTTCCAAAGACCCTGTATTATTTTTGTAATCAAATGAAGATTTTTTTAAAGATTTTAAAAATGCATAGGTCACTGGATATCAAACAAATAAAAACAACAGTAATTGAAGAGAATAAATCATGATGGCATAGGAAACTCTGAGTTTTCTTTGTGGGGGCTGGGGCAGAGAAGAAAGAGGAAAAATTAAAATATCACTTAACTTCTCCAAGCAATCTATTCTCCAAATCTTCACTGTTAACATCTTCTCAGACACTCAGCCTAACAAACTTAATTTTACAGACATCATCAACTCCTCCTTTTCCCTTATTCCCTATATTTAACAATTCACTTTCAGCTTTACCTCAAAACAATGCACCATCTATTTTGTTCTTTAATCCCAGGAACATTACCCTATCTCAGTGATTTTCAAAATTTTTTTTAATAGCAGAACTCTTTTTCCCCTACAATAATCTGGCATGAAATCATAATATTTAAGTCAGATAAAACTTATTCTTATAAATATAATTTTACAGTAATTCTTACTTACTCTAACCAGGGCTTCCAATCAGTTCAAACCAGCTCAGTCACGGCCAACAAAGTGAAACCAGAAGAGACCCAAATTTTCGAAATCTGGGTGATCTGGACCAGTAACCGGAACGGGAAAAACTGTAAGTCAAAGCTCTGGAATAGGAGATGTGGAAGAGGCATAGTGAGCCCTTGCAGGAGCCTGATACATGAGACTGGATTACCACCAGGACACGTTCATAGCTGCGAGGCTGGCTCCCACCTTTCAGTGTTTCCTCGGCCATGACTGAACAGGGCAGAACTGGTTTGGACCCATGACTCTAACGTAAATAAATGACAAGGAGGCTATTCTAACAAATACAAAACTTGAAATTCAGAGTTATGGATGACAGCTACAGCTTACATCAACTCATCATTAAATTTATGTTTATATCTTTTACACAGTATTAAGGAAATCCTGATTCACATCACAGCTACAATGGTAACAGATTTTTACTTGTTATTTTGAAGTCTAAGAATACTCTTCAGTTAAATATCAGTGGCAAGAGAACCTTGATTCTATGCTCGGCACACAAATGAGTTCTCTTGACAAATTCCGCTGGTATCTCATGTGTTAAAATATGATATCAAGCATTTTCAAACTTGAGTGTGTTTGTTAGTTCTCTTATTACTGGTTTTTCAAAGTTAAAAATGTAATTCAGAGAGGAGGGGCCAAGATGGCAGAGTAGTCAGACGCTTCCAGTTGTCCCTCTTACAACAAAGACTCTAAAAAACAAGTGAACTGATTACACATGACAATCTAGGCGCCCTGAACATCAAAGGTAAAGTTAAAGAATCAGACTGAGTGGCAGGGGCAGGGAGAGATGGTTTATAAGCAGTGAGTAGTTGCCAGACCGGATCCAGCAGAAGCCGGGACCCTTCAGGCTGGATTGGCATGTGCAGTGAGGCAAGTAGTAGCACTCAGGAGGCGTTTTCCACATCGGGAGAGACAGAGCAGAGGAGAGTCTACTCACATCTCCAGAACCAGTGAAAAGCGGTACTCAATCGGCAAAAGGTAAGTACATGCATCTGACCTACCGTGCAGATCAAAAAACACCCCTCTTTAGGAAAAACCTTTCTCCTACTTTCCTCCCCACTCTGTACCAGGTCCTGGGCCAGTTTCAATGATTGCCAAGTCCCCTGGCCAGAAGAGGGACTTGTCACACGCCCTGAGCTATTCTCCTGGCCTTGGAGAGGGAACCAATTAACAAAGTGGGAAAAAATAATCTGCCGGATCCCCTAAGCCAGGAACTCAGGGTAGGCACAGCTCCTTTGCCTAGGCACAGGCATAAGGAGTCCACGACCCTGTATGTCTTCCACCCCTGCATGGACCTGTGTGGGCCCATTTCAACAGCATAGGCCCTCATTAGCACAGTACAGCAGGGTATATACCCGAAGCCTAACTTCAACTGTATCAGCTATATGGTGAAATGGGAGGTTCATGACATTTGACACTGCTCTGCCCATTAAGCAGGGACCTTACCTACCCACATCAGGGGCCTGATGACTGATGGGTCCACCCACGCCACCTGGCCACCCGCAACAGGGATCCAAGAATAGGTGGTGCCTCCTAGACCTTACAGCCAACAGCACTGGGTGCTCATAGTCCAGCTGCAAAACCCATCCACCTATGTGCTCTAGGGAACAGGGACACCCTTTCCTCCCAGACACTCAAGGGCAGCCATCAGCCCTCTGCCTTGCTCAGTGTGTGACCCCTACTGCAGCCAGATACCTGTGCCTATGCCAATCACCCAGGTCTTTCTAGGACTGTAGGTGAGAGCCTGCACCACACACTTGGTGACCAACTACCTGGACACCTGAGCTGAATCCTTATAAGAAAAGTAAACAGACTCCTGGGTTCACATACCTAGTAACAGATCTAACCACCTGGTGACAGGATGTTAGAGCTTCAAAGCCACCAATAATCAAACTAGCTCACTCGAAGAGCCTATTTGGGCATATCAAAACAAAATAAAACAAGAAGCTAGGATACAGTAAGCAAACATAAAATAAATAAATGTAATAACTTATTGATGGCTCTGAGACAACAGTCAATATCAAACCACATAAAGAAACAGACCATGATGGCTACAGCAAGCTACCAAAACAAAGACTTAAAAAACCATCAGGAGGAAGAGAACTTCTCTGAATTACCGGAAGTAGAATTCAAAGACTAATGTACAGAACTTTTCAAGAAATCAGGAAGGAGACCAGGCAAAACACAGAACAAGCCAAGGAACAAACTGACAAAGCAATAGAGAAAATAAAGAAGGTTATTCAAGAGCATAATGACAAATTTAACAGGCTTCAAGAATCCATAGGGAGACAATGATCAGAAATCCAAAAGATTAACAATAAAATTTCA